ACTGTAACAATCCCTGGTAATTTATTCTTTTCCTCGTTAGAGGTGATCAGAGTACCCTGAAGTAATAGGCTTGAACAGGTTTCAGATGCCTCCAAAACATCAATATCTTTTTTAAAGAATTATCTTATTATTATTTGTTTAATTTAACCAGAGAGAGACAGAGACAGAAAAAGGGAAAGTGAGAAAGCAAATCACTAGGTCCAGGACTTGCACCACAGTCAGCCCTGAGCGAATTCCGCACCTTGACCACCACGCCACTCGCCAGCCCCCTCAGAAAAATCCGTACCTTAATAATGAGTAGAAGTAGACGAAAGCCATCACACCGGCATGCTATTCCCTGCCTTACGCTCGCTCTACGTCTTAGTCCTTTGTCTTCCTTAAAAAGCTGGAGGGAGTCATCACTGTGCCAAGGGCAGACTCCCCAGTATTACCCGTGCACCCCCCCAAAGTTCATGTGTGGGAAACATGATCACCAGGGCATGAGGGCCTGGCCGCGTGAAGGGATTCATGCTGTTACAGAGGAGGTCCTTATGAGAGGGTGAGCTCACCCGAGGGATGCCCTCCCCCCCAGTCTGACTGCAAGACACCCTCCAGACATCAGCTGCTTCACCCTGGACTTCTGGCCTCCAGAACTGTGCTCAAATCAACTGCTGTTTACTACTCCTAGTCTGTGGTATTCTGTTACCACAGCACAGAAACGACTAAGATGCTACCTGTCCGAACTATCTAAGGAATCTGGAGACTAGTCTCACTTGCTAACAGTTACTTACACTGTCACAAGCTGTTCCAAACAGTTACAGGTTAATAGGAAGTAACTGATGTCCAGCCCAGAATGTCCCTCCTCTAAATGCCTATTCACGTAGCTACTTTCAGGAGCGGCATCAATAAACGTTTAGACAGAGACGGCCCCGACCCACCATCTTGCTGGAATTCCATCTGTTTCTAACCATTCTCTGGGGAAATGCTAATGAAAAGTGGGTGCAGAAAAACAGCCAAGAGCAGATAAGAAGACTAGACAAAGCACAAACTGATAATTCAACCACAAAAAGACAAAGTGACAAAATAGCTTACTCTTTAGCCTCCTTACTAAAATTTGGCACATAAGGTAACATTAATTAATCTTTTCCCATAGTCTGTTCATATTAGATGGCAAAATATAGCCCAATAATTTATCATGACTTTGTAAAGAAAAATATGTATTTCCTTTAGATGTAAATTAAACAAAATTAAATAATGCAATTTAACATATTTTACAATAACACCGTAATTATAACAACTGTAAAAGTTATGTATATAGGGCCAGCAGGTAGTGTGGTGATTAGGGTGTTGACTCCCACCTGGCTGACCATGGTTCAAGCCCCAGGCCCAGCAACTTGAAAATCATGCTAGGCACATAATTGTGCATGCCAAAATCCCTACAGGAGAATGGAGGAGAAGGAACTGGGGTGTGGCCATCCCTCAAGGGGTGATTTCTCACTTTCTTTCCCTCTCTTTCTCTGTGCACTCTCTCCAGCAAGCACATGTGCTGTGTGGCAAAACAAAACAAAACAAAAAAACAACAACAAACAAACAAACCTCAAAGAAAAAAGATACGTATATATAGTTAAATTTTTTTTTTTTTTTGTAAAGCTTGTGTGTGTTTGATTCTATATTGCAAGAACACAGTAATAAATCAGCTTAGGGGATAACTGGAGGCACTTTAACGTGAGCTGAATCTCCACTACTGTAAAATTCTCAGTCCCTTTCTTGGGTGTGGTCGGGCACTGTGGCTCTCCAGGAAGAGCTCCTTATTTCAGGACATGCATACTAAGCGACAGGCTGTCTACGTTGGTGTTCAAACTGCTCAGGGGAGACAAGTCACAGGTATGTGCACATGTGCTTCCACACACCGGGGACAGAAAGCGAGCACGTGGCTGCACTCCCCGGTGAAACCAGGCCAAGGCGTCCAAGTATCTGTGAGATCACCTCCGACCTTTCTACAGACTAACACTTAGCAGAGTAACAGTGATGAAAACAGGTCGGTTTGCTGGAGCAGCAGGAGTGAAGATAAACGTGATTGTTTTTTCACTTCCACTCTGTGCCCTAAGACAGGATGCCACGCCGTACCCGCAGTTGGCACAGTTGAAGTGGTCTGGGTGGTACGGGTCGTTCTTGAAGACCAGCGGCTGCTCGTCAATGATGGCGTGGCACTTCTGGCAGATGTACTTCCCGAGGCCGCGGGCTTTCTCTCGGTTATGACAAGGGCGACACAGGTGTCTAAACAGAGGCAAAACTTAAGTTTAAAAACATTAGGTTCTTTCTAAAAATTAAAAAGAAAGATGCTTCCCATATCCTTGAAAAGAAACTCAAGAACATTTCTTCCATATTTAAGCCACATGCAACACATGCTCCACCTCCAGTATCTGATGGATTACCAAGAAACTCCTTGTATGAGCCAGTTTCCCGTCGCCATGCCCTCCCCTGGCGGGTACTGTGGCATCTGAGCACCCTGAACCCTAAATTCACTGTCCCAGAGCGCTGCCTTACGTCCCCAGTGACCTTGTCCTAGCTGCTCTATCCCCCACAGATGACGAGAATGGACAACTCCTACCTCCCGGCGTTCTTGACAAAGCAACAAACAAACCTCAAAGAAAAAAGATACGTATATATAGTTAAATTTTTTTTTTTTTTTGTAAAGCTTGTGTGTGTTTGATTCTATATTGCAAGAACACAGTAATAAATCAGCTTAGGGGATAACTGGAGGCACTTTAACGTGAGCTGAATCTCCACTACTGTAAAATTCTCAGTCCCTTTCTTGGGTGTGGTCGGGCACTGTGGCTCTCCAGGAAGAGCTCCTTATTTCAGGACATGCATACTAAGCGACAGGCTGTCTACGTTGGTGTTCAAACTGCTCAGGGGAGACAAGTCACAGGTATGTGCACATGTGCTTCCACACACCGGGGACAGAAAGCGAGCACGTGGCTGCACTCCCCGGTGAAACCAGGCCAAGGCGTCCAAGTATCTGTGAGATCACCTCCGACCTTTCTACAGACTAACACTTAGCAGAGTAACAGTGATGAAAACAGGTCGGTTTGCTGGAGCAGCAGGAGTGAAGATAAACGTGATTGTTTTTTCACTTCCACTCTGTGCCCTAAGACAGGATGCCACGCCGTACCCGCAGTTGGCACAGTTGAAGTGGTCTGGGTGGTACGGGTCGTTCTTGAAGACCAGCGGCTGCTCGTCAATGATGGCGTGGCACTTCTGGCAGATGTACTTCCCGAGGCCGCGGGCTTTCTCTCGGTTATGACAAGGGCGACACAGGTGTCTAAACAGAGGCAAAACTTAAGTTTAAAAACATTAGGTTCTTTCTAAAAATTAAAAAGAAAGATGCTTCCCATATCCTTGAAAAGAAACTCAAGAACATTTCTTCCATATTTAAGCCACATGCAACACATGCTCCACCTCCAGTATCTGATGGATTACCAAGAAACTCCTTGTATGAGCCAGTTTCCCGTCGCCATGCCCTCCCCTGGCGGGTACTGTGGCATCTGAGCACCCTGAACCCTAAATTCACTGTCCCAGAGCGCTGCCTTACGTCCCCAGTGACCTTGTCCTAGCTGCTCTATCCCCCACAGATGACGAGAATGGACAACTCCTACCTCCCGGCGTTCTTGACAAAGCCGATATCTGCCAGGACTTCCTGGCAGAGGTCGCAGCGGAAGCACTCCGGGTGCCAGCTGTTGTTCATGGCTTTGATCACGCGGCCAATGATGAACTCACCTGCGGGAGAGCAACACACAAGCATGCCCACTGTGGCGGGTTATCTTAGGGAACGAACGGGGAAGAGAATGTTCAAACCCTACCACAAAGTGCGACTTTTTATGTGTCTACTGCAGGAAGCACATTAAGAACAACAGTGGGGCCAGAAGGTGGCATGGTGGTTAAGGATGCTGGACTCCCACCCGGCTGACTGGTTCGAGCACTGGACCTGGCTGGAGGCTTACTTTCTCACTTTTCCTCTCTGGTCAAATAAAATAAAATAAATAAATAAAAGTTCAATAAAATAATTCTTAAAAACAAAACAAAACAACCAAGAACCATAGTTACGGGGCCAGCAGGCAGTGCAGTGGCTAAAGCGCTGGACTCCCACGTGGTCAGCTTCAGTCAGAATCCTGGACCCAGCGGCTTGAAATTCACTCTGGGTGCGTGCGTGTATGTCCGCGCCCAACATTCCAAAAGGAGGATGCAGAAGGGAATGTAGCATGGCCATCCCCCCAGGGGTTGATTTCTCACTTTCCCTCTCTCTTTGTCTCTGCAGTGAATGCACATGCCCCCTATAGCAAAAATCTCTAAAGCTCTTTAAGAAAAAAGGACAATGGCTCTGTGCCACAGCAGCAGTCATTCAATATCTGAAGCCTGTCTCCTTCCTGGCAAACGCCAAAGCAAGCAGAGGCCAGGAACGTTACGGGGAAAAGAGCCCTCCAAAACACCAACTAACATCACTCAGTACCTTCACCGTATGTGACCTTAAAAAGCATTTTCTCTGGGTTCGCATGCTCTTCCGGTTAGGAAACAGGAATGAAAGGGAAAGGACTGATAAAGTACTAAATGGTTACTTAAAACAAGCATTAAAAACATTTTTACCATCAATACTTGAATAATGTTCTAGGAGACCAGCAGATGGGAGCAATGGCTACGTCACTGGACTCCCATAGTCGACTGGTTCGAGTCCTAGACCCAGTGGCTTAAACTTACACAGGGCACGTGTGCATGCGTGCCCAAAATCCTGACAGGAGAATGGAGGAGAAGGGAATTGTGGTATGGTCACACCCTCACTGGGGGGGAAGAGAGGGAGTTCTTGCTTTCTCTGTCTCTGTCTCTCCAGTGAGTGCATGTGCCCTACAGCAAAAAATCTCTCAAAAAATCCCCAAAAAACATTTGATGACTAAAGCAATTTTTTAAAGAATTTTTTAAATAATTATTTTATTTTATTTATTCATTCATTTATTTT